CTCATAGATTCGGGGTTTGTGCACTACCTTCCTCTGTTCACCTGTTGCTGGGACTTTGATGTATTCCACTTTTGATGAAAACACAATAGCTCTATGGCATTGTTCTTTCATGGCCTTTGTAGCTTTCGGCAACCCTTTTCCCTTTGCTATGCATGCATACCTTTGAGTAATGCATGGCGCAGCTTTTGCACTGGCCTTCTTCTTTGGTGCAGGGCTATTGGTGCGTTTTGGATCCTTTGTGGGTGCAGCTGCAACTTCATGTTTGTAAAAACATTTGTCACCACGACGACATTTGCCCTGTTGAAAGTAAGTGCATGGGATCTTGGCCATCTCTTCCTTCGACTTTCTGTTGGGGGAACCACTTCTGCTACCACCTTTGCCCTTACCCTTCCTTTTGGGGGTGCCAGATCTTGAGGAATCTTTGACATGCTTGTAGGGACAGTCTTTACCCTTTTCGCACTTGCCATCCCTGAACTTGTAGCATATTTTATCCCCTTTTCCGCTCTGGCTACGACCACGGGTTCGACCTCGGTCGCCCTTTCCTTTGCCGCGATCTTTGCCCCCCTGAGCGGGTGCAGCGGGCTGAGGCTTTTCGGTCTGCTTGTTCTTTTCAACGATTCTGTTTCTGTTTGAACGGAGTCTTTCTCTATCCAAAAGATCACGAATGTTTCTCAACAAGAATGCATAAGACTTTTGTTCTGACTTTTCAGGAGCTCTGTCAAATGCTTCGATGTCATACTTCATCAATTGACATTTTCGGATTTGTCTGAGTAAGATGTCTCTGAGAACCAAATCATCTGGCGGGGTTTCCATGCCGGCAATTGTGGCGTCCCATCGGTTCAGAAACCTTCTAAGGTCCTCCACAGATTCTCCAGTGCGAACGACTCCAAGTAGGTCCTCGACGCGGTAGAGACTGCCAGCTTCCTCAGACGTCCTGAAGTAATCTTCAAACATCAAAAGGACTCTCCTACCTCTGACTTGGATCCCTTTCTTTGACTTCTCATCTTTGAAGTTATGGATCTTTGTTGCTAAATCACCTTTGGCCGAGCGAGTTAACGCTGCCGACAATTTGGTGTCAAGTGTGATAAACTTCCCAGGTTCCTGCAGCTTTTCCTCCAACTTTTCCCTAGGGGTTTTGTTGTCAAAGACTTCATTGAGCCAAAGCCAAGCCTCATCGGGTTTATCGGAGCACGACTTCACTTCATCCCTGACATGATTACGCCAGTGACGATACGCTTCTGGGGCAGGCATGTCGTTCAGTTTGATAGTCTCTGCCTCTTTTGTTCGGGGCTTTTCACCATCTGAATCCTTTGAAGTCAGTCTAGTGATGAGATCTAGCAATTGTTGACCTGAAAGACCTAAGCCTGCTTCAGCTGCTTTCTTGCCAGGGTCGCTTGCTATTACTGTAGGACTGGGCACACTATGTTCTTGGTTTGCATCATCATCATTTTGTCTTTGAACTGGCAATGGTGGCAGTTTTGGAGGGGCTGCTGACCCGGCAGGGGTTGATGAGAATAAGTTGCTCAACCTTTCCTTGGCGTCCATGGCTAAGCTACTCATACCAGTGTTTGGCATGGGTTCTGCTCCAGCCTTGGTACCGACCGCTGATTTTGGGGTCATGTACAAATCGACATTGTTCCCGCCTTGTGAATCATCAACTTCGACGGCTCTGTCGACCTCAATTTCCGGGGCGCTGTACTTGTTGAGCTTCTCCATCAGATCCTCCACTTGTCCCTGCAATTGGAAGTTGAGTTCAGCAGCTTGGTTTTCCTGCCTACTGCATTCCTCTCTAATCTCCTGGATTACAGCTTGTTCCTCCTTCTTGAAACCTTCCATGCCATTCTTTGCATACTCTACTGTTTCATCCACGATTCGTTTACAGTCTGCCTCGAGGCTACCTCTGAGTTCAGAAAACCTTTGTTCATACTGGGCTGTAACATGGGCTACCTTTTGGTTGGCTCTTTGCTCAGCTTCCAGTGCAACTGCATTTGCAGCGTTCTTCAGCTTTGCGTTTGCATCGCTAAGTTCCTGTCTCAGTTTTGCTACCTCATGCTCAGTTGCCGTTTGGGACATTGAATACTCTGACACTAGGTGTTCATGTCTGCGATCAGCTTCTGCACGTTGATGGGCGATTTCGCTAAGGCAAATTCCCTCAAACTCTTGGTACAGTTGCTGGACCTTTTGTTCCATGAGATGTGTGTGCCTCTCCTCTGCCTCTTGCCTGAAAGCATCAATGTTACCTTCGTTGATGTAGGTAAGATTGTTTTGCACGAACTGGAAATAGGCTTGCACGGGCTGTGTGAAGAAACCTTCATCCACTGACATGGGCGTGGGGTTTGTCCCAGCCGGCAAGCTCTGCTGAGAACCAGTTGATGCAGCTACAGTTCCAGTCGAGGGAACGAGGGCACCGCCACCTGTTGCATCGTGAGTCTTGTCCATGGCTTTAGAGACTACGGCTGATAACCTGTATTTTCAGGTTTCAGCAGGGGTAATACCTATTATCCCCAGATAGACTGATAAACCTAAAACAAAGGACAAAACCGTTAAGCATCTGCAGCTCAACCCTTTTTACCTGAGCCGCAACAGCTACCGTATATGCCTATTATACATGTGTGTTTTATGTGAGGTGCTTTTGCAGTAGCATGTGCATGTGACGCAAGTTGACATGAACGTTAACATACCCCACCCGACCCAAGATGTGACGTAGCATGTGCATGTGACGCAAGTTGACATGAACGTTAACATACCCCACCCGACCCAAGACGTGACGTAGCATGTGCATGTGACGCAAGTTGACATCAACGTTGACATACCCCACCCGACCCAAGACGTGACGTAGCATGTGCATGTGACGCAAGTTGACATGAACGTTAACATACCCTACCCCACCCGACCCAGTACCATATGCGTGTTTTCAAAAATGTGCACGACTGCTGGCGCGGTTTTTCCCCCGCTGGCATAAACAAGCACCGAGCCCGGAAGGAACAGCTAAGCTGCTGGGCTGTTGGAAACCACTCTGGTTCATTTCGAAACTGCCAATCCGCAACGCAAACAAAGATCAAGGTGAAAGCCTTCTATACATCAACCGTCGAAGGGCACCTCTGAGGTGGGAGTCGACTGAGAGGTAATGGGATCCCAACTCCCTGATCCTGCAGTTTATGGCGATGAAACCGGCATGAATCGCATGTCAACCAACACACTCAGCAACCGCATAAGTTGTCCTGAAGGTGTCACGATGTTGGCACTGCCCACATTAGCCACGCATTTCTCTGCATCTGCCTTCACACATGGGCGTTCTGTGCTTCACTTGGTGATCTGTCCGTGGTGTTGGAGACTTGGTCACAGCATCTTTGATATGCAGAGAAACTCGCAAGTTCTCCAGTAAGTGGACAAATTTTGGTGGGCTAAGAAATGTAACAGGTATTGATCAAGCCCTTGACGCTAGCCACACCACCCTGTAACATCTATGACACGTTCAGAGCCTTGAGGTCAACCTCCATCGACTGAATCTTTTCCTTTGCGTCCGCCTCATCTGCATCCTCACATCACGTGACATCTCCAAATCATCCCTAAATTCGTCCATGCACCACCAAACATGGGACAAGCATTGGGTTCTTTGGATCACGTGCTTCAAGCAAGTTTTAAATCATATCAAAATGAAGGGTTGCAAGGAACTTTATTCATCCTTTCGAAAATCTGGGACTCCAGTCTAACTTTCCCTACAAACTCGATAACTTCGATTTGATTGCTGCAATGGTAAATCCAAGAGGGCACAGGACTCGACACAAGACTTCTCGCGGCTTTGAATTGTGCTGCAAACACTGTGTTAAATTGTTCACTATGCGTCTTGTTTTGGACGCTGCGTGCTGTTTTGGGGGAACCAAATCAAACAGTTGGCTGCCTCGATTGCAAGCAGAGTAGGTGCTGCAGCAACTGTTTCAACCGCATCGCCTGAGCAGGTGCCCAAGGGCGAAGGAAAACGCCTTGAAGCCCTTAGCGGAAAACTTGCAAAATACTAAATACATCCAAATACTAAATTTTGGATATGCCTATACAGCGAGTCCTTCTAATGCGTACAGCAAGAGAACCGCCTCCGGAACACCTTTTGTTCGCCCATCGCGCGCGCGCCTGAGGATCCCAGTTCGCAGGAAGCCGTCACCTGCAGAAATGCAGCTGCCGCTTCAAATGCGTTCGCTGCCGGCACAAGTTGTTGAAACAAGGGGTTTCACTGAAATCATGGCCTCACTCCTCTCCACAGCATGCTCCACCTTTGCGTGCTGGTCCACCTGGCAGCACCACCAGAGCAAAGTCAGCAAAGTTCTGAACGCCTGCCAGGTGTGATCAAACTTGGCCGATGACAGCCTCAAACTTGTTCTTGATAGATCTCAAATCCTCGTGCTCAATGGCCAAAGCTCTGATGATACTCTCTTTGGCTCTCACGACTAGGCCAAGTTCATCTTTGAGACCTTGCCGCATCACTTGCTGCTGATGTATCTGTGGCAGAAAAAAAATATGAACAGACCTGCCGCCCCAAAGGAAATTTACACCATTCAGGGGCAGCAAGATCAAAGTTAGAGTGATCATCAAACAAGCACGTGGAGACAAGCTTGTCAAACGGCCTAAAACTTGCTGAGCCCAGTACGAAGAAACTGTACACTGCAGCAATGAAAGGGAAAAAACAGAGAATCAATAGGAACAAAAAGACCACGCACGAATACGCACGATCATTCCTTATGTGACTTGTTGGAAAAATGTCAACTCCGCTTTGTGGAGGCTCAAGACCTTTTTTGCAGGATCTTCAAAGCGTTCGTGCTATGTTCTTGCTTTCCTCTCCTGGATTGTGGACTGTTTGAATCTTTTGCTAGAGATAATCAATGCCGTAGCCTGGCTTTCCATTCATCCTATGCACTTTGCTTCTCTATGTATTTCGTATTAATGTTCCTTACTTTGCCCTCCTTTTCCATTTTGATTTTTCCTCTCATTATCTTCTTTGGTTTTTTGCTGTCCTCATTTCCTCTCTCTTGCCATCCTTTTCTTTCTATGGTGCGCTTCTCGCTTGGATCGCTGAATCACTCCGTATCTGTTTCTGGGCTGCATGCCCTTGTACATCTTGTACTCAACATGGGGCCCTGGCTATAATCTATGCCCCCGATTGCTGGATGCACTCCTAAGGTTCGGACGGTTGAATGCCTCGCGAGCCTTTTGGGTTTCACAGCCAACGGAGATGTCTTCGTAGAGATCTTGCAGCTGATCTGGATGAGGTACATGCTGAAGGCAGCCTGAAGATGTGAATCCAAAAGGTAGAGATAGGTAGAGTTAAAGATCTGAGGAAGCCATTGGGAAAGGAATCAGAGAATGGAAACCACATGAAACCAACAATGCAGCACTGCTGGGGCATCATGGGGATCAAAGGCAAAAAGCGGCCACTTTCCAAGACCTACAGCTGAGGAACACCGAAGGAACGCATCCACGAATTGCTTGCACTTGCAAGAAATGATCACTCTGCTGTCTGTGTAGTCGAGCTCGTTTGCTTTTTGATCCAAGAAAGCTGATGCCACCTGCAAGTAACAAAGAGCTGCACAATGGCAAAAGCAAAAGCCAACTCTGTATGGATAAATCTTGGCGCTGCAGTGTTGTGACACATCTCATCATCTCAGTGTTGCTTTCCACAGAAAACATGTCCGAGCCTCCAAGTACGGTGAAGAATCTACATCCACAAGACGGTTGATGAGAGTCTCCAAGCTCTCTCGAAGACGTCTCTTTCTTTCGTTCAACATGTCGGTGTGCTTCTTCATGATCCTATCGCCATAGTCTTTGTAATGGCACAGCTGGATGATGGGCTCTGCCTGCCGTGATCAATCAATGTCTGCGTCCCCCGGAATCCCCGGAGTCTCTCGGCCCTTCTCAAAAGTCACATGCTTGATGCTACTGAACTACTGAATTTCTTTGTGTTCTGGTCATCTCGGTCCACGTGCGATCATTGGTGATCATTGGTCGCATCTGGTCACACATGGTCACACATGGTCACACATGGTCACACATGGTCACACATGGTCACACATGGTCCCACATGGTCACATAAACAAAGCTGGTCACGCTGGTCGGTCCTTCAATTTCTCCTGCACCTCCCACTGGCTCGAGCAAGTCCCTGTGCTGTAGAGTCGCAGGGATGCGGTCTGAATGTTGAAGTCACACAGTCCATCTTTGCAGAGCTCGGACTTCGCCACTAAGATGTCTTTGACTGGAGTGACCATGCCTCAAAATTCTTTGGATTCGGCCGACAGTCAACCCATTGGCAAAGCAAACAATGGATTTGACACCTCAAGACGGCTGTGAACCAACTGCATTACCAACTCCAACTAGTGGCCCAATATGCCTATGGACATCCGAAAAGGCGAGTCACACGCATCCATTTGGAGGAGAACGAGCTCCATGAGTTCGAAGAGATTCTCCTCAAGAAATGAAAAGGTGTCAAAATCGGCGGCTCAAGCGTCCAGAAACATACTTTCCTCACTCGACTCGTTCTTTCGTCAATCCTGTCCATCAGTTTTCAGCTGATTTCAGTCAAAACATCAGAAGCCGGCTTAAGTCCTTCGTCTGCTGCAAGAGCTTGGGAAATGTGTGGCCGGGACAGCACTTGCCAACTGCAAACTCCGCCAAGTTTTCGCGCACCTGTTGCCAATGGATTCAAAACAATCTGAAGACGATAGGAGAACAACTGAAGATGCAATTTGCATCTGATGCAATACCTATCCAGAGAACAAGGCAGCGTCAACGTAGAAAAGAATGAAAAGTAGTGAAAGCAACAACTTTGGGGGAAGGCCAATCAAATAATTTCAATTCTAAATGGTGTTAACAAAGATGGACAAACCCGCGACATACTACAGCCTGCTTCACCACGTCGGTGTTTAGCACTTTGGCTACGAAGGAGTTGTACATTTTCTTGGTGACCTCCGAGTTGGAGCCAAGACGACGCTGAACCTCCTGGCAAAGAGCTATGCCAGCGCTGGGAAAGGATGGGGCGCTTTGCCCCGGAAATGCGAACTGTTCCACGTTCCGAGACACGATACCCGACGATACCCCTTAGATCCCCTTAGCTTCTGCTTGACAGTGGCCCTCCTGCTTCGCGAGCTTCTTTTTCTCCTCTTCATCCTGCAACCGTGCATTAAATGTTGGAGGTTTTGGGAAATATGTCTTTCACAGCGCAGGGCTCTGTGTGTGGTATGGGCCAATACAGTATGAGTCCTCCTCCACGCCAAGCAGTCTGAGGCGCAGTTCGGTATCTGCCTCCTTCTCCAAAATCTGCAACATCGCATGCTCCTCTCAAACCATTTTCAACACTCTATATGTTTCCTTTTTTCATGTTTGCAGTAATGCAGATCAGGCCACTTTCTTCACCCTACCTATGGTCCATCATACACTGTGGCTCAAATTTATGTCCTTCCAAACAACTTGAAGATTGCGTAGGTACATGTTCTGCACTCGTGGCACCAAATCTGCAATCCCGGCAGAGTTCTTCTCCACAAGTCTTGGCCAGTGCTGCTTGCGTTCTGGCGTGTCTGGAGTTTGGAACCACTCCGCTTCCTGCAGTTTCATTGAGCGTCATGACCTAAATTCATGTCCATCAAGCTGTGCCACACATATCGGATTCGTAAGAAAAACAGCTTATGAATTTCCGACAGAAACTCGCAAAAAGATGCCACCAGAAACCGATTTTCTCCGAGGTGAAAGCTCAAAGTCACGAATCAGAATTCTGACCGTGTACCTGCTTCTGCTGGATGTACATGCGTTCATAGTTGTGGTACTTGAAGTGTTCACCAGGAGGCAGCCTCAGAGGAGCTTTGCCGAGGCGACAAGTCTGCAAGCTAGGATCGACTGAAACAGCGAGTTTGCGAAGTGCACCAACAGTCTTTCGCCTCTATAAACAAGTTCAAAATGTTTCTTGTGAATTTAAATACAAAATACAAAAAGGCTCAGAATTCATCAGGATGGGCCCACAGGCTGCTTAAACATGCGAAATCAAATCTTGCGAGCTTTGCAGAGCTCAGGCTTTCAACCAATGGTCCGTCCCACATCAACGCGATTGATAATGCACTCACCCGCAACAATACCATCGGTATGAAAGGCAGAAATATGAGATGTTCCCTCAACTCAAGCCCGTCGCCGCCCTGCAAAGGATCGTTCCTTACAGTCAAAGCACTTCTGCATCGTAGCTACCCATCCGTTGCATAGCTTCACACCACCCAAAGACTCCGCTGGCTCATCATCCTTCAAGAGCGCTTCAAGTGTCTTGAATGTTTTTGTGTTTTGGTCAGGTCTTGGACCCTGTGCCCCTTCCAAGCCGGCAGCACATACATCCAGAATTTATACCTTGTATCTTGCTGGCGCCACAATTGAACATTACAAGTAACAAGATGTAACAAGATGTAACAAGCAACCCCACAGGGGACCCCACGTGCCCAGATCTTGGATTACCGTGTTTTCCGTCCTCGGTGCTTTCATTCAAGGCAAGAGCCCGTAGGACATCTGCGTCACTGTTCTGGTCGCACTTCGAAAAGATTCCAAATGTGCGATCCTGAAGGCTGGTAGCTGCTCATGCTGCTCCTACTTTTCATAACGGGCCGTTCAACAAAGTCTCTTTGGAATTTGCGGCCAAGCCTGAAGGCCCTCTTCACTGATGAATTTCATGACGGGATTGTTACTGGGACGCACTTCTCCGGAAGCTGGCACCACAGCAAGGTACATGCACTGCTCGCCACTGTCACGGTCATCTTTCAGTTGGCGGTCATAGATCTTGCGCACTTGCTCAGCCTGTGGAGCAGAGCTGAGCTGACTTGAAATATTGTGCGCCAACAAACCTACTGCATAGATCTGCATAGTAAATGTAAAATCAAACACTCAACTTCCAAAGCCAGACTTCCCTCGGCCTTCTCTTCCGGAAACTGCGTCAGCCCTGGCAGATCCACCAGGTCCAAGCAAGGCACATCGGGGCGCTCCACCTTCACAACGATGCTCCTCTCCGCAATGATCCGTTCCTCTTTCCCACTTCCAAAGAGCTCCTGCATCAGAAAGGTGACAGAATCGAACCAGGCTGCAGTAGGCTCAGTGGGCTCAGTTGGCTCAGTTGGCTCAGTGGGCTCAGTGACCAGTTCTGGCAACATGCTCACGTGCTAGGAATACCATGTGGTCCCCTCAGAGAAGCAACTTATGAGCTACTCCAAACACGGGCAAGAAACAACCAACAAGTTCAAGAAACTTCAAGAAGGTTTCACAATCGTGAACCCCAAAACCCGAACAAGGAAGTAAATTCAGTACTTCAGATGGCCCCTGCCAGCATACTCCACGGATTCGTTGGCACGCCTCCTGTAAACGCTCCATCTCTTCCTGACAGGGTCACAGCAAAATGTTTGTATCCCATCCCCTTGTAGTGGCCCAAAGTTGAAGAAAAAAACTAACGAATACATAGAGAGTTGTCAAACGTCTTTGGCGCTAGTTGTCTTGACAAGAGCCGCCTGGTGCTCAATACTGACAACAACACAACAGCGACCACCATCGTTTCCACATTCATCATAGAAATGTATCCAAAAACATCAACATCATCATCACCACCACCATCATCATCATCGCACCTTCATCATTAGAGTCATTGATGTTGTCAGCAACATCCATCAACAATCTATAAGATCTATAAGTCTATTGTCCGTGACAGCGGAGACTTGAATCCAACAATCCCATGGCGCCTGCACGATGAGCCAACCGTTCTCCTGTGGAATCTCCCGGGACATTTCCTCTTCACCCTCTGCGGACAAGACCGTCAAGGTGGCACGGCTGATGCCAGGGGTTCGCCGCAAACGTAGATGTATGGCCAAACGTGTGCAACAGCGTCGCTTTCTGGGAAAGAACGGGAGCATCGCCAGCATCTCAAGGATAGTTGACTTCCCAGTGCTTTCCTCAGAGCGAAAAACGTGACTCAAATATTGCTCTCTGAAATCTGAAGGATTCATGTGGCCAGGCGAGCCTGGCAAAATTACACAAATTTCATGCTTGGAGAAAAAAAAAATGTTCCGCACCGAAAGAGAATCATCGCCAACCACCACGATCTTTGGCGGTTTCAAGCCGCGCAGCATGCGACGAAGCAAATCTTCAATTGGGTCCAACTCCTTGAAGAATTTGCTCAATGCCTGGCACATCTGCATCGCGTCTCTCCTGGAAACATCATCTCTGGAGAGAGTCACGTGGCGCACTTCGCTACGCATGCCGTGGGGCTCCCATGTCAACGTGAGAGTTTCTGCCGTGCCAAACACGAAATCCCGGAAGGCTTTGATGGTGTCTCTCAGGCCTTGGTTTGGAACCAATGATTGGTCTTTCATCCGTTCCTTCGTTTGCGGTGACCAGTTGTGGCCCTGGCCAAACCACTCCGTTATGGCCGCACACTCATAGTTGAACTTGTCAGCTGCACAGACTGTGTCATACATGAGCAACCCTGTAATGGGGCATAGCCAATCCGTCACCTGTCCAGATCTCAAGAGCAGTTTAGCTTGGGAAAAAATGAATACTGAGATCATTGAATTTTGAGGTTTTGAATGCTTTTGAATGGTTTCGATCAGATACATGAGACTTGGACTGAATGCCTTTTCCTTTCAGGCCTCCCGCCTCTGGAAATTTCTTTGCAACCGTGCGGAAAATGTCGTCTAAGACGTCATCGTAAATCTTCGAACACACAGGCGCCATATCCACTTTGGAAACACAGGTAAGGGCGAACTAAGCCAAAACTAAACTGAACTACTCAAAAACTGGCATTGAGCACCCGCCAGGGCAACAACCGTGAAATCTCCTGTCAGCCACCCGCCCCAGCACACACATGTAACGGTAGATATGTTTAATCACACACAAAACCAAAAAAGAAAACATACCCAGAACATCTAAACCAATGCCGAAAAGGACAAAGTACAACAAGAAAATTGAAAACCAATGCGAAAACGAACGTTGATTGAAAAAAAAATAGATAATAAATTTTATATGATATATATATATGTATATGTATCATATATATATAATATATATTGAATATGTTATATATATATATATATTAAATATATATATATATTATATTAAATATATATATATATTATATTAAATATATATATATATTATGTATTATATATTATATATTACATATATACATCATATATCATAAATTATATATTATATATTATATATTATATATTATATATTATTTATTATATATTATATATTATATATCATATATTATATATTATTTATTTTATAATATACATTATACATTATACATTATATATTATATATTATATATTATATATTATACATTATATATTATATACTATATACTATATACTATATACTATATACTATATATTATATATTATATATTATATATTATATATTATATATTATATATTATATACTATATACTATATATTATATATTATATATTATATATTATATATTATATATTATACATTATACATTATACATTATATATTATATATTATATATTATACTATATACTATATACTGTATACTATATACTATATACTATATACTATATATTATATATTATATATTATATATTATATATTATATATTATATATTATATATTATATATTATATATTATATATTATATATCATATATTATATATTATATATTATATATTATATATTATATATTATATATTATATATTATATCATATATATGATATATGATATATGATATATGATATATTACATATTACATATTACATATTACATATTACATATTACATATTACATATTACATATTACATATTACATATTACATATTACATATTACATATTACATATTACATATTACATATTACATATTACATATTATATATTATATATTATATATTATATATTATATATTATATATTATATATTATATATTATATATTATATATTATATATTATATATTATATATTATATATATACAAACATGTGTGAAATCACTGCGCATTAATGGATGTCCAGACACCTTGAAGAACGTGGTACAGCAAAAGAAACATCATACTATGTCCCGGCACAAAGTGCAAAAAACATGAAAAAACAAACATTTCGGTGACAATCAAGGCAGCACTGTCTCTTTTTAATGGCATATGGAGTTTTTCTATATGCACAGCATTTATGTGAGGTTCTGCGCTGCCTTCATCGGTTCCGACATGACTTGGCTCAATATGAGACACGAAGTTTGGCAGTCCAAGCATTGCACATGAAATCCATGAATGATCAGAAAGTAAGTATTATTCAACAGCTCAAATTTTGGCAAAATGGGATGATACCACCACCCAATCCTAGTAAGACAGCCTGCAACAAACCGTTTGCTTGAAAATCCTGTGTTATGCATCCATCTCAAATTCCGTTTTTTGTGAGACTTTATTGGTTCCCGAACAATCCAGTCAATGTTTTGGCAGTTTCGCTGCTTCACTGTGCACCCTAATGTGGTTAACACCTCTCACCTCACTGTCCTTTTTGTTTTCATGCGACAAATTCTGTTTGTCCGAGTTCGCAGTAGTCAACACAATCAGCCACAACCCTGTATCAATTTGCACACCTGCCCGAATTGCAGAAGCAATTGCCATTCCACCAACCCAATCAGAAAAAGGGAGTTTCTGCAAGTGACACAAGGCCAACAAAACCAAAATGTACCATAGATGCCATGGTGGTACTGGATCGGCAGCAGATTCGTTGACTATCCGACTATATATCCCTTGCATCTCGGGATGGTCCGGGATGGTGTGTAACAACCAAATTCTACTCATGCACAGAACCATTTTTTGTCAACATGACATGTATTTTCTATATATCTCCCAAGTGAAGCCTAGTTCAATCAGTGGACCATGCAATTTGTGCACCCTTCTGACACACTGAAAAAGGCCGAAGGATGTGCCATCACCACCATGGGGTGGATTGCAACGTCATTGACTCGTTTTCTGGAAATTGCCAAGTTACCAAATCAGGAATAAATTTGATGTTTGATGGAGGAAAACAAAACAATGATGCCCTTTGATGTTCGATGAATTCGTCGGTTTATGCCCATATTCAAACTGATACAGGAATTTACCTCCAGGGACACCACAACTGGAACACTGGCACGCAACACGCGCAATGAGCAATGCACCCAAAAAAATCATTGCAAGACAAAAAAACACAATTGCAAAAATCCTGTTTTCGTAAGGCATCATCATCATTGAACAAAAACTGCATTGGGAAAAATCAACGATGTCATGGTTGACAAATTTTCGTTCCGCATAAAAACAAGTTTGCAATTTTAATCCGGCTGAAATGACCACAAAACAAATTTGCAACAATTCAAGGGAAGTGACATGAATTGCCTTTGATTTGTATTCATCTTCAGCCCGAAACATGTGCCCTCAAAATCGTCAACTTAATCTCATTACCTGAAATGAAATGTGTGGACACTTGGATAATACGAATCAAAATCGGCAAGTCACAACATGCCGGACTATTGCATGTTAGGCTACAGTTTTGTCCAGTTCAATCGTTTTCATTGTTGTGAGCCGGACCAATCCTCCTTGGATGGTTTGGTGCAGTCTGCCATGGTTTTTTGGCAAGGACAAATGTCAACTAAGGCATAAAGGTCGTGCGTACGTTTGGTCTGCGGGTACTGGGGTGAATCCATCGTGTGACTGTGATAGGCTGCCCTAACTTTCGTTCTTGATCAATGAAAACATCCTTGGCAAATGCTTTCGCAGTAGTCCGTCTTTAACAAATCCAAGAATTTCACCTCTGACAGTTAAATACGAATGCCCCCAACTATCCCTATCAATCATTGCCTCAGCTCTAGAAACAAACAAAGTCAAGCTTCAATTGTTGGCCACAACTGCCATGCCAAACTGTCATGTCAGTGCAAGCGTTCAAGAGCACAGCTCCTTTTTGAACAGTGGGGCAATGCGGCTGGACAGGCTATGGGTCTGGCCATACCTGTCAAGTAAAACAGGGTTGGGTGGGTGGGCGCTTTGGAGTGATTAAAACACAGCGGCCCACCCACCCACCACTTGAGAGAAACTCTGAGGATCATATTGAAGAATGTTGTGACCCGAAATGCTACATTTCTAAACAAACTCACCATGACGATTTGATGAGTAAACTCAGCTGCATCGTCAAGCTTCAATTGTTGGCCACAACTGCCATGCCAAACTGTCATGTCAGTGCAAGCGTTCAAGAGCACAGCTCCTTTTTGAACAGTGGGGCAATGCGGCTGGACACCCCCTTCAATCCGCATGGACCAGTTGTAAAGCTTCTTGTATCCTTTCCAGACAAAGTTTTGCAGCTGCTGACTCGTCACAACATTCAGGCAGAAGAGGGTGAGATGCACCCCTAGACGGATAATCACTCACGTTCGCCTCTGTCGGCACACGGGCAAACCAAACGCACAAATTGCAATCCGCCTCCCTTCTCAAGTGGTGTTCCATCAGTTTCGTCGCAACATGACTTGCACAGTTGCCGCGGATAAGGGAGAAACGCACTGCATCATTGTCGCCAAAGCAAGTTTGAAGTCCATCCCGCATCCTATCAGCCCAGAAATCCAGTGCAAGGACTGATGCGCAGAGTTCCAATTCATATATTATTGTATGTTTCAGATCAGACCCAAACTCTCGACAGACTGCTGGCGACAGCTGTATTCCAAACCACGCAATGCATTCACCGCAAGAGTTGAAAAGAGCACCACCGAGACCACCTGTGCAAGTCTCAGGTTCGTATGCTGCATCTGTGTACACAAACCATTGTTGTAAAGCCAGCGCATTAATTGTCCTCGGCCTTCCAGACTGCAGCCGTTGTAACATCATGCGCAGAGACAATTTCAGTTCGCCAGTTATCTTAACAGCTCTGCTATAAGCATGCTCAGAAAGTTGTTTTAACAGTAAGGCCCCTAGCCTGCCATGCAAAAAGGAATCTGCAAAGCCCAGTTTGCCTCGCAGCACCAACGCTTCCTGCTTGCCCAGGGTCCCACCTTCAATGGTGGCAGTCAAAAGAGCTTGAAGGTCTTGAACTCTTTGCTCGGTGTTTCGAATGGCCAGTGTCTTCTCGCCAGACTTCGTCAAATCAAACTCAACACCCAAGGCTCGGCAAACGCTGTCAAAACTTGAGCATTTCTTTCCTTCCGTTGCATACTGCCATCCAGTCAAAAGAAAAATTAACTCCATTGAGTGCCTCGCTGAGTCAACACTTCCTGGCTTGGACGCCAGTATGTAGTCATCGTAAAAGTTGGTGTTGATCAAATACAAGGCACGGGCAGCAAGGGTATGCAGGGCTCTTGACAACCTCAAAAAACTGTACACACTATGAGTTGCTCCAAAAGGAAGTGTGACCAGTTGATAAATCTCAGCACAGTCTCGCTCACAGTTATAGATGCTGAAAAAGGAGAATCTCAGGTGGTCCTCCTTGATGGGCACCTGACGGTACGCTGCTTTGAGGTCGTACGTCTTTGCAACCAGACGGCTGTCAACACCTGCTTCATCACACTGCCTGAAATATTCCCTTATTGTTGCAGCAAAAGTGTCAATCATGTGAAGGTCCACCTTGTTGTTGGTCGAGGCAGTGTCATTGATTCCAGAAATCGAGTAATCGTCGATCATCCTCGTTTTGGATCCCTGCACCAGCGGGAATCGCCTTGACACCACTGACCCTTCAGGCAAGCTGCTAAGGGGCCCTCTAGCCCAACCAAGACGCACCTCCTCCTTTGTCTCCGCAAGGAGTTGGGCATCAACATCTCTGTCTCCACATGACTTCGAAGATGCTAAAATTGCTTGGTTTCGCTTCGGCGCCTCTCGCAAAAGTTGCGGCAGGGTCAAAAGGCACGGCTTGTAGCACTCCTTGAACATTGGCGAGCTAGGAATCTCTCCTGCCAATGGGGAGCCCTCTCGCAACAAGTCAAGCACTCTGTCATCCTCATAACCCACACTGTCAAGCATCTCCTGAGTCAGGAGCAAACGTTTGTTGCTGGTTGTTGCCTGCACATGTGCAGGCCTCGTTGCAGCATCTCGTCTTTCAGCATCTTCAAGCTCCTTGGCCCTTTTGAGCCACTTGCGACACCATTGCATCCGGTATTCCACCAATGCATGTTCTGACCATTCCAGGTGTCTTTGAATCGCCACCCGTAAATCAAGTGGCACTGCATGGTTCTGTGCCGCTGGGTGGCCAGACTTGCAAGCCCGCTCAATGAATTGCTCTCAGCTCCATGGCAACCCAAAAACCACTTTGTAGGCCCACGCATCTTTGTCGTGGGCAGTTCCATCTTCCAGTCGCCTCTTATTTTGTGGAGGCTCTTCACTACCCCCATTGTCGTCGCCGCTCACAAAATGACCACGCAAAAAACGTGAGCCCTTTGGCACCAGTGCAGGCTGGTGCTCCTCAGTCCGCAAGGAAAGGTCATGCGGCAGCCTCGCCATCAATGAGCAGGGTATAGCTGCAGGGCCCTCGGCAAGAAAAACTGCCGACTGCTGAAAATCTGGTACGATGGGAGGCAACTTTGAAGTCTTTGGTTGAAGTCCTGCAGCAACTTGTGATTGTTTTGCTGTCAGCAAAGGGTGGTCAGAGATGTCTTGTAGGCAGTTGGGCTTCAAAGTGACTCCCCAACTGTGCGCAATCTGTAGCACCAATTGTACCAAAGCTATGCAGAGCTTTCTCGGGTACTGTGATTCTTCAGCTGTGGCCCAAACTTTTTGGCCTGCCGCATTCAAAGTAAAGCCCCAGCCCAAATGTTTGTGCTTTCTGTCACATGCCACGTCAAGGCTTGTAATCTCTGGGAATGAGGCCACCACTCGCGTCCACTTGTCACGCAAGGAACCATACATGCAAGCTTGAAAATCTGTAGCATAAAGCGGGTAAATCCGCTGCAAATCCAACACATAAGGCGTGAGCCAAAAATATGATCCTCGAGGGTTCTGCATCGTGGCAAGCACATTCCTTCGAATGCACTGTGCAAACAAAAGGCAGGTGTAAAGAAACAGTGCATTTGCAAGCTCAACCCTTTTGAGTTCTTCACCAGTTAAGTCAGGTAGACCTAAAGGAAAATCAAGCGATCGCAAAGGTCGAGGCAAATTGGCAACGCCAGGCTGTGGTATCTCACGAGCCCGACTTGCAGTTCCACACACCGGTGCAAAATGCACCCACAGAAGTAATGGCGAAGAGAGCCATTCCTCAAGAAGCTCTCGGTCCGCTTGCTGCAAAAGGTCCAACTGGTAAATTGTACAGCGGGCGTTGGACTTCCTAATTTTGTCGATTGCAATGCCACCCAAACCAAAATGCTTCGCCACAGATGTCAAAACAGCACCACCAGCAAACACTTCAATCATGAATAACTGCTCTATGTGATACCCTTTCAAATCTCTTGGCACCTTCTGGTTTCCTCACTTGTGTTGTTGTAAGGAGTGAGGTTGTTGGCATCTGGGTTCAGCGCAAACGTGCATTCCCTTAGGGCAACGTTCACCAGCTTTGACTGTATTGCTATGGCTGCAACCTGCTGCTGAATTGTACGCAAAGCAAATAGGCTCATTTGCTGCCGTCTTGTGGTATTTTCCTCGTAGTTCAGCAGGCATTGGAGGAGCCTTTCCTTTCCCAGCTGTCTTGCCCTTGCCTTTGCCAGTGCCTGACTTAGGAGCCGGGCTGTTGTAAGGAGTTGCACGATTGCCTCCATGAGCCACATGAGACTGCACTGGTTTGGCCAACGGTGCCAGGTACAATGCTATTGCAGGGTCAAGCCTCAACTGCAACAAGGCTTCACCCAATGGAAATCTCCCATTGGCGTCCTCCCTCACTGGCACATTGAGTGTTGCCAACCGGGCCCAAGCAGCTTTGTCACAACTGACGACCTGGCTAAGGTTTGCCTTAGCATAGCCAGGGGGAACCTCACGATGCAGGGACTCAAACAAGAAAGTTTCCCATGCACAATGTTGCTGGTATGTCATCACCCGAGCAAATGCCAACGCCAAAGCCCTACGTGTAAAAGCGTAGTGCAACTTGATCTCTGAATCTGTTGGGCACGTTGCCTTTTCGTCCTGCTTCAAAATCAGGGCACCTTTCTCTAATGTGAGCTCTCGTGACTTGCTTGTTCCCTGTACCTCCATGCTACGTGAAATGCAAGTTGAAGGTTCCAGCCACTTGATGGAGTTATCTTCAAACATCTTGCAAGTCTTATCAAGTAGGGAATGTGCAGGCTCAAGTTCCCCACTGATTTCAATTCCTCTCAGCTCCAAACGTAGGGCCTCCATGCGCTGCGTGCGCTCAGCAAATGCCACACGGCGCGGCTGACTGTCCTCAGATTGATCCACCTGCTGCCTCAATGAAGCCACAAGGTAAGTGTGAGCCTCGAAAGTCAAACGTTTCACAGCACTGGATTCCGCAAGTGTTCCGGCCCTACCCAAAGTGCGTTGCAAGAAATCATCGTCTTACTTAACTCAGTTCCACCGATGCGACATTAAGGTAGCATACTATATAGGTTATTTATATAGTAGCCGTCGAGTATCGCATTTGTATTATCGCTTGGGTATGCGCGTAAACTGAACCATATATTATATATATATATATATATATACACGTATATATGGATACGCAAACGTCGAGGTGTCTCACTGGAAAAATTCGCAAGCTTCTGAAATCAACATCACTGCACTGAAACAAGAAGGTGGACATGTTGGAATGATCGGACAACGCACTCTGATCCTTTTTGACCGCGGGGGTGAGATCTCCAGTTTGAGCTTCAGTTGCTACGCACAGGTGGTTGACAACGGCAGAGGGTAGGCCGTATTGATTGGTCAACAGTGCGAAGAGCAACTGCAAAATTCAAAAGGGTGGGAGACGAAGTAGGGAGGGCTAAACTGAATGTGTTGTCTGCAATTTCAGTTTTTCGCCCGCCACTACCCAACCCTTAGATGAGAAAATGGCGACAGTGAAACATACAGTGTTCTTTTCAAACACAAGTTGAGAGTGAAACGTGTTTCTGAAGTTTCCGGTATTTATGGTATTTGCAAGGTTTACCACAGAGAGAAGTTTAGATGTTTAAACTTCCAAGTTACCGGAGTGAAACTGTTTTGCGGTGGAACTACGCTTCATTTCATTGCGCTGAGTTATAAAGACAGGGCTGTCATTTCATGAAAGCCTTCGTCTTACTTAACTCAGTTCCACCGATGCGACATTAAGGTAGCATACTATATAGGTTATTTATATAGTAGCCGTCGAGTATCGCATTTGTATTATCGCTCGGGTATGCGCGTAAACTGAACCATATATTATATATATACACGTATATATGGATACGCAAACGTCGAGGTGTCTCACTGGAAAAATTCGCAAGCTTCTGAAATCAACATCACTGCACTGAAACAAGAAGGTGGACATGTTGGAATGATCGGACAACGCACTCTGATCCTTTTTGACCGCGGGGGTGAGATCTCCAGTTTGAGCTTCAGTTGCTACGCACAGGTGGTTGACCCCCGTTGGTTAGTGCGTATAGCAGGCTCAAAGGTTTGGAGTGAAGATCCATTATGGCTTGGATCACATGTTGCGGAGTCACCCACGCGTCATCTGGTATGGCTCCAAGAAGTGCAGCGGTCTGAGCGACCAACTTTCGCGAGGGGCCATCTGAAGGATTGGAGTATGAAGAGACTCGTTCATACCAAATCGAGCTTGGAGACTCGAGTTCGATCTGTTGGTTAACACGGCACATTGCCCTTAAACTGAAGGAGTCAGAGGTTCCCTTCAGGATTGCAAAACGTGCTGCGTCATTGTCGATCCACGAAATTCCCACCTTGTTCAGCAGTTGAGTGTGAAGTTTGTACCTCACAGTGACATACGCAAACATCTCGATTTGGCATATTATCTGATCGCCAACATCTTTCATCCAAAGTTCCACAAGTGCATCCGGAACGAGCACCTCAAAGACTCGTGTCTCTGACGTACAAGGGTTGTAAACCACTGCACCTGCTGAAGCTCGCTCGGATTCCCAAGCACCATCTGTGAAAATAAGGTAAGGGTCAGTGAACGAATGCGCATCGTACCTCCTGGGAGGCATGGCACCCAGCATCGATCGGGCTAGGCGACACAAAAGAGTCAAGTCTTGGCTGCTCATAGACTTTGGCAAGTCAGCCAGGCGGCTGAAAGAAGACACCAAAAACTTCAGGGCTTTGGAGGTGTAAAAACCTCCAGCAAAGTTAAGATGACCTTGTACTTCTGCCGCTCGAGACTTGGAGATTGTTCCATCATGTTCCACTTGCTCCAACATTCGACATATCCGTTCAATGCGGCCTTCTTTGTTCGCCAACACAAAGCTTCCACGGTGCAGCTGTTGGAGCTGCACTGAGATCCCCAAAGCATTGAAGTCCGCTGCGAAGTCCAGTGCTTTGGCGCCTACCTGAGCATGGTCCCATCCCAAAAGATTCAAGATTGCGGTGAGCGCCTTCGTAAGCACCGAAGCAGACGAGCTTGGGCTCACTGTAGGAAAATCATCGTAGAAACAAGTACAGGGGCACCAGAGAAGCTTGCATAGAAGGTGGTGAAGGGATCTTGACACCCTATTGAAGCTGTAAACTGCTGCTGTGGCCCCAAACGGCAATACATTGCTTCTGAAAAAGAGCCACCTATCCTTGTACCAGTATCCAATGACATTGGACGATCGAGATTCAGGAGATATGGCAAGCTGTTTGTATGCTCGGGATAAGTCAAGCGTACGGCCCAACCAGTTGTCATTCATGACCTTCGGGTGGACCGCAACTTGGCACATTGACTCATCATCCATGTCCATCTTTACAACGCCTTTAGCCAAAGAATCCGAAAGTGCCGCCAGCAGACATGCCAGTGTGTCCACATCGTACAGCTCCAGTTTGAAAACTGTTGTAAAGGATTCATTTAACCCAGAACGCTTGCAGTCATCAATCGCTCTGACTTTCCTTTCTTCCCCCTGATAGAGGATGAACCGAGGGTTGTAAAGCCATCTGTCCGTCCCAAAGAACTCCGTCATTTCAGCCTCTGAGTACGGTCCAAACAGATGACCTAGGTCCACCTCTTTCATAGTGGCAGCATGAAGATCATCCTGTTGCGCTCCATCAAACTCGGTCTTTGAGGACGCTCCCATGAGCGCCTTCCTTCTCCAGACAGCGGAGCTTAAGAGCTCCTCCGCAGACACTGTGGCTGGTTTCCAATCGTCTGGAAAGTTGGGTGGTTTCGAGTGAGAACCAGAAAGCGGGATTCCGCCAGCTACCAGATTCACAACCTCCATGTCAGAAAACTGGGTGGTCTCCAATAGCTGTTTCCACAAAGACAGGTTCTTAGTTTCAAGGACTGAGCTCACCATTGGTCCCATGGTTTCTTTAAAGGCTCGTTCGCGCTCTTTGCACTCATGGGCTTGTCGGTGAACCGCCAACACAACTTGCAGACGATGTTTTGCAACATCCAAAGGATCGTTAGACAACACATGGATCATCGCCTCTTTTAAGACCAAAGGGAGCGCAAGCTGTGGGTCTTTGGGATGCTTTAGCTGCTTGGCCTGCTCAAGGAACTCGGCTGGGTCCCATTGTACTCCATACTTGAACATTTTTCGCGCTCTTTTTGGGTTGGCATCTGGCCGATCTGGCTGGTCGACCTCTTGCTGCATCTCGGTTTGTTGTCCACCTGTGAGAGGAGATGCTAAAAGCACATGATTGGGTGAAGATATGGCTTCTTCCAGGTGTACAAACTCTTTAAATTGGCAAAACAGTGGCTTGGAACGAGACGTTTGAGTTCCCCAAGCATGTCGGGCATGTTGAGCCGACGTGATTTGTGCTTCAAGCTTGACTTGTGCATCTTCGGCTGCATGGACAAGGCATTGGGCCATGCGTTGGCACAGCAATCGTGGGTATTCGGCTTCAAGCGCTGTTGCAAACTCCAAATGTTGTCCTCTTGAAGTTATATGCCAAGGCTTATGTGCATGGGTATGGTCACACTGTATACCAAGAGAGTCGTACAAACCTAAAGAAGCCAACAAACGAGTTTTCTTATCACGTTCTGAACCATGCATGCAGGCATGAAAGTCAACCTTCTTGAGCGCAGCAAACCATTGTATAAACTCTTTGTTTCCAGTTTGAATCGCCAAACATGTCAAAATTCCCCAAAGCCAAGAGCGCGTTGGGTTTTCAACAGACGCAAGGATTCCAAGCTCGAAACACAAAAGCAGCACTTGCACTCCGAACTCATACAACTTGTTGGCCTGCTCAACCTTCATTTTATCTGCCCCGCTGAGTCCAGGGAAGCCCAACAAATTTTGAGCGTCCCGTAGAGGCTTCGGATCGCTATGGTTTTGCTGCAGATGTTTTGGCAAAGGTTTCTCCCTTGCGCGGCTGCATGTTCCACAGGGCAGTCACAAATGAACTGCAAGCGGTCGTATTCGCCTGAGCATCTGAAGAGCGATACCTTGGGAATCGTCTGAAGTCAAATCTAATGAAACTTGTGCGACTTTGGGACGATGTCTGTTTCGATCATGGTCCACTGCCAACACATTGAAACCAGCTCGCCTTACTTCGAAGGAGAGCCCTGCTGAGCCCGAGAAAAATTCCACAAAATAGTTTGAAGGGCCTGTGAGACTGCCTACTGTATCCGTAAGTCAGGAACTCCCAACATGGGAGCATTCATGGTATGGATTGCTTCTGTGACATCCGACCTTCCAACAAACGTGGTATCCATGCATGCAACGCTTTCCCGGCTTGACGTTCGCTCGGCATGCACCTAGATTGTACTTCATACAGATCGGCTTGTTGTTTCCTTCCCCATATTTGATGGTGCATCCATCTGGAATCTGAATCTTTCCTTTCCCAGGCGCCCCTTTGCTGTCAGACTTCGAGCCACCTTTGCCCTTGCTGGGCTGTGATCCTTTTGGCGCTGGGTATGGTTGGAACCTCTGGTTGCTGCCAGCTGCAGTGGAGCTCTGACCGACTGGCAACGGCAGCATATGGAATTGAACATCAGGGTGATGTGAAAACTTCTCAATCGCCAGGTCAACGTTCTTCCGTCCATTGGTCATTGCAGTCACATTGGATCTAGTCTCTTCTGAGACCTTTACCCACAACTTGCGGTCTGCCACCATGATTTGCTCTACTGATATGTGTTTGTAACCAGCAGGAGGGTCTTGGCAAACTCTGTCAAAAAGTAGCTGTGACCACCCTTCCATAACCTCAAAAGATGCCACATTAGCCAGCTCGTAGGCTAGAGAACGTCGAGTGAAAGCCGATCTCAAACGGATGTCCCCTTGAATGGAACACTCAGTGACTTGGCTCTGCTTGGTCACCTTGATGTTTCCAGAGTGATCGAATGTGATCTGTGGAGTGCTCTTGTCACATCGGATTTCCTGTTCACGTGAAGTGCAAGCTGTAAGCTCAACCAGCTTGACACAGTTCTCCTCGTACTGATGCACAACCTTGTCGATGAGGCTATGTGAGGGCTCAAGAGTTGTGCTGAGCATCACACCTGGAAACTTCTTTTTCAGGAGCTGTAAGCGCTGCACCTTCTCCGCAAGGGGCAGGATCTTGACCTCTGAAGTGTCGCTCCTTTCTAATCGGCTTTGCAAATCATTCAGCGCCATTGCATGGCATTCGAAAAACAATCTTCGAAAGTTTGCTGCAGAAGCACCGGTGGGTTTGGTTCCCAAAACACTCTCCAAATGATCAAATAATGCCTCCTCACTTGACCCACCAGGTTGGTAAGAGCAGCAAAAGGCGAACTGCGAAAAACTTGCAATGCCTCCATCTTCCATGCGGGTGATGTCATCACTGCCTATGCCAATCTCTGATGCCCTGAGTTGAAACGCAGCTTTCGAGTCCAGTGCCATTGGCTTAGCCAAGCGCTAGATTAAGCTATGAACTCAGGAAAGGTTGTCTGCCATTTGAACATGTCATGTTCATGTATTGAGGCCATGTTGCAAGAACGATCTGAAACATAGGGTCAATTAGCTGATAGTTGACCCTATTGTTTTGGGAATCGTTTTGAATTGTCTGATTCTTTGGGTGCTGCATTCTCCGCTATCCTCTCAAAAGGTTGGAGAGGTTACGGCTACAACACAAAGTAGAATCAGCTGAGTGCAACACTGGCCCCTGCGAAGACATGTACAGCAAAATGCAGGTTTCTGGAACGACAAGTCTTGGTTGTGTCGTGTCACTGACATTGAACGTGGTGCCAGCGTGAACCTCATTTTTAGCTGTTGTCGATTGGCCTATGTTTGGGCTCTGAGTGAGACTCTTCCTTTTGGGAAGAAGAATAAATGAAACTTAAGAAAAGCACTGCAAACATTTGCCATACTTTGCATGGGTCGCCGTGCTTACATCATCTCATCTATCTGAGGCTTCCGCATGTGCGTCTCTTCTGATTACGGTGTTGCACTGAATACACATTGTTGCAGCGTCAATGTCAATCTGATCAAGCTCAATTTCAGCAAGATTAACCGTGATCTTTCTCCCGCATGCCAAAGTGTCATGGCCTGGCATCATCCCATGTAACATGCCAGTGTATGAATGTATGAACCATTTGTTAAGTTCAGCGCCTTCTGGGACTGGATCTCTTCCACCTTTTGAAACGGGCCTCATACTGAAAAGTGGCGCGTCCTCGTCGGCATAGTGGTCGTCACTGTCGTCACTCCTAGCCAGTTCGACCGGTTGGTCATCCTGTTGTTCAATCAAGTCTGCCTGAGCGTTGGCATCATCTTGAAGCATCGTGCTCAACCTTTGAGCTCGACTCACATCGGGTTGCAGTCTCCCCGTGTCAATCATCTGAATAAGCTTGCTGACCTTGTACTGCAAAAGAATCTGTGAATCCCTGCTGTAGGTCACATTTGATCTAGTCTGAGGTTCAATATGATGTCCTAAAAGTGTACGCTCTTCTCTGCTGAACAAAGTTGTCATGCCGGCCCAAGTCAAAAGAGTGGCCTTGCAGCCATGACTTGAATACTCTGCAGAGCCTCCTTTGAAGGTGTCCTCCAAGAACTCCCTGATCCAACAAGTGCATTCACCTGACGACATCGGGTGATTGGACCAATTTGAACCAACTTCATTCCAAGAAGGTAGAAAAACTGACTGATCGTTCAACCCACTTGCACCACGCGCATCAATGAATGCCAGTCCCCAAGATTGTTCGTCCAGAAAAGTCCCAATTGCAGTGTAAGGCAGCAGACGCGTCTTGGATTCCTTGCTCATGGACGTCTTGTGCAAAGCTGTTGCAGCTTCCAAAATAACTATGTTGCCATGTGTATCTGCAGAGAGCTTTTCAATCCTCATTGCATCAAACCATCTGACGCAAGCAAATATGCAAAACAACAGTGCCCCAGCAATCACACGCTTGTGCATGTCCGCGGAGTAAATGCAGATCTGTTCAAAGGTTTGCACTGCTTTGACCGGTAAGGCTGGAGCCTGTGTCAACTTCCGCTTCTTCAGAAACATGCTATGAGATGCTCCCGTCACTCGAGGTGAAAGCACTGATGCAGTGTCCATCTTCTGAAGCTTGAACATCTGATTGCAGAACCGCAATGACTCCACAAAATGAGAAGCTGAGGTTGCGGCCGAACCTGTATCGCGCAAGTAGTTCATGTAATCATAAAGCACTTGTTCAGTCTGATTAAAACATGTTCCCATCTGACCAGCTTCTAGCCAACATGCAAATCTCCACATCGAAGAAGCCCTCTTTAAAAGGGCCCCGGTTGCCTTGTTTGACATGGCATCCTGAAGTACTTGCAGAGGGTTGACTGAAGGGTCAATGGTTCCAAGCACATTAGTTATCGACTGTCCCAGCTGAGTTGCATCCAAGTCTAGTGAAATCAGAACTTTAAACTGGTTCAGCGCTTTGGTTCTGAGCTCATCTTCAGCCACATGGATTCGACACTTTGCAATGCGTCTGTTGATTGCAGAAAAAGAAGAAACAGGCAGCTTTGGTGTAATGACTTGACTCTTAGGTGCAGGAACCAAAACGTCTCTTAGTCCTACTCGACAAGGTTTCACTGAGGTTGCCGCTTCACCTGAAATCTTCTTGGTAAACAATGGAGAGAGCGGTCCTTTCTCCCAAGGCATTTTGATGTCCCTGCTTCTCAGTAAACGAAACGCAGTTGAAATACCTAGTTGCTCAACATGTGATGAAATTGCAGGTACTGAGCTGTCCGAGGCTGAATCTTGAACTTCAACTGGATCAGGCTGCACAGGTTCCGATGGGCTAGGAGCTAAAGAAGGCGAATATTCACATGCAGTTTCATGCGTTTCCAGTGACCCAAACAAATCAAAACCAGTAAGCTCCAACGACCGAGGTTCGACTTGGTCACCGCTTGCATGCTCTGTAGCTGCAGGCTGTGAGTCACCATCAGCGCTCCCAGATGCCCATCGCTTGCGAAACCCGCGGAGGCCCGCTGGAGGATCCATTAAAGTGTCAAGAAAACCGATGAAAACAGGTGTCATTGGAAATTCGCGCAGTTCCCCAGGAAATTCGGCAGTTCCCCGGGAAGCTGCGCGAATTCGGAAACAGAAAGTGACCCCCGAACAGCTAAACTGAATGTGTTGTCTGCAATTTCAGTTTTTCGCCCGCCACTACCCAACCCTTAGATGAGAAAATGGCGACAGTGAAACATACAGTGTTCTTTTCAAACACAAGTTGAGAGTGAAACGTGTTTCTGAAGTTTCCGGTATTTATGGTATTTGCAAGGTTTACCACAGAGAGAAGTTTAGATGTTTAAACTTCCAAGTTACCGGAGTGAAACTGTTTTGCGGTGGAACTACGCTTCATTTCATTGCGCTGAGTTATAAAGACAGGGCTGTCATTTCATGAAAGCCTTCAACGTCCTGGTTCAATATGGGTTGCCCTGGTTGTCCTAAAACAAAGGCAATCTTTGTCAATGAATCGACACCTGCAACTGACAACGCATTCACAAACGCAGGGGTAAGGCCAAGCCGGCCACATCTGTCACTGAAATGTGCAGTGCTGTCTAACAGTGAAGTCATGGCACTACCAGCACAGGAAAAGAAGGTGAAAAGAAAATGAAACACAAGACAAAGCGACATGTTTGACAAGTTGAAGACTTGCAGCTTTCTGCACAGAATTTTTTCACTCAACCTTAGTTGTAAAGCAGCTTTCTGCAAAAAGGACCTTTGTCTCAAAACAGCTTTCTGTGAAATGAGATGCATGTAAACTTGCTGCAACGCTTGAACCTGACTCTTCAGGAATTCGGCTTTCCGAAAAATGTCATGGATGCTGGTCTGTACCAGCTACAAATGATGCCTTTGCATGAAACTGAACTCGGAACATGCCAATGAGCCGTTGCTCAGCAGCCCTCAAAACTTTTTCAACCTCGCACAGGCAGAGCACTCACTTGTCAGAGGCATGCTTCGTGCGCTTCAGCGCTGCATCCAGGCCTTCATTCATTTGATCCAAACTTCTGATCCGAGTTGTATCTTTTGGAAAGCATTTCAGACACTTCGGCCACCTCACTCGCAACGTACGTGGCATCTGACTGAAATTGTGATTCATCGCAGCGCCGCATGCAGCCACTTTTGAGTTGATCTTCACACGATGAACTATGGCACTCTTCTTGTGCTTGAAAAACTCAATTCCTTCAGGCACATGTTCAACAAACGCATCAGCATCTGGCTTTGCAACTGCAGGCCCATCTGACTCATCCGACGAGCTATCAGATGAACTTCCACTGCCAGAAGAGCTGTCAATCTCCACAATGCCACTGTTAACCAAGCTCAGGTCAAACAAGACACCCGTTCCGCCTCTGCAGCAATCTGTGCCTCATCCATAAGCTCCTCCTTGACACTCTCCAAGTCTTCAGCGACATGCATGGCATCAATGGCTGCTGCCACAGGTCCAGCTGTCAGGTCAGGAGGAGGCAATGGAGGGAAAGGTGTCGCTGGCATCGGCGCCATGACAGTGGCTGGAGCGGGAGTCCTCATTGCAGGTGTTGCATAGGGATTGGGCACCATGGGATCTTCTTCCAATCCCAGTCCAATCCTGACCCGGTGCAGCAACATGTTGAGCTTCCTCAAGGCCCGGGTCTGGAGGTGCCGGCTGTAAACCACCTCCGAACCCTGCAAGGCTGAGGCATGATGCCCCAGCACAGCCCTCACCTCCTTGTCAAGCCCCGCCTTCGCTGACCACACCAGCAAGGTCGTCTTGAGAGAGTGTGCACGAAAGGTTTCATGCTCTGCCGTCCCTTTCAAAAGAAGCCTCAACCACTCAGCGGCTTCTGGGGTGCTGAGGGGTCGAGCCCCAAAACCGCCTCCTTGCTTGGGAGCTGGCATCAAAGGTCCCAATGGCACCCTGTTGATATCCAATCCAACTTGGGCATGCACATCCAGGAAAGTGCGTACCCATTCATTGTGCGTCACACCCATCCATGGAATGACCAGCGGCAGGTATTGTTCACGCCTCGCCCCAACCGCTGATGTCTTGTGCTCAGTTGTATACAACGTCAAAAACCCCTTGCGGCCTTCTTCGATTGTCACATGGTGGATGTAGCGCAAGTCTGACCACCTTGCCCTACCATAAACGCAAATCAACATCACTGCTGCTCCCAAACGGTCAGTGTCACATGTTGCAGTTTCCAGTATTTCATGAAGCCTCTGCAAATGAGCTAGCTCAAGAGGTGGAGCCTGCTTCGTGGGGCCCTTCTGCAACCTTTGAATTGCAGCAAAGCCCAGCAGCCTTCTGGATTGAAGGATGCAATCAGTCTCACGTAGATCCAAACAAAATTTTGCAAAACGCACTGTCTCCAAAAAGGCAGCTTGACTTGTGAATCCCCTTCCAGAGCTCAGCCTGCATGCTTTAAGCCAGTTGAAAAACTCCCAGACATCAGGCTCGGACAGCGGGAGAGGACTCAAATGAATCTCACCAGCATCTGAACGCTCACATGCATGCCACTTGAAATACCTACGCAGACTTGCTGCTCTCTTCAACAGTGTCTGTGGGCTCTTGGTGCCAAACGAAGCCTGCAGCGTCTCATTTGCCAGCTTGCCGCTTGAATCCTTCTGCATATCTCTTGCTAACATCTCACCAACTCCAGATGCAAACCAACTGCATGAGAGGAGTTCCAACCATTGACCGCAGGCAAGTTCAAGCTGTCTGTTTTTGCTTTGGAAATAATCAAGATCCTGAATGTTTCGCACTGCTTTGTGAAAACATGCATCAGTCGGTAGCACAGGTTCGTCAACTAAGGCCTCTGATGCCGTGATGACCTTGTTCATGAGTTCACTGTCCGGCTCAGGCAAATGACTTGAAGGCAGTTGCAAGGTAGAACCAGTGCCAAAAATTTCGGCGTAAATCCCAGTTTCCCAAGGCAAAAGAAGTGACATCGGATGCTGTGCAAACTGACTGTGATTTGCCACCACACCAAGTTGCCACTGAGAATCACTCACAACAGAATGCAAAGAATTGGAATCTGAAACGTGCACAGGTTCAACAACTTGTCTTGGCGTGCTGGGACTCGGGCACATTGAAACTGGTATAGTGTTCTCAAGTTCACCGCTGTGCTCCGAAGGCAAAGGAAAATTGAAATCAAATTCAGAAACAACTTGAAAGGGTTGACTGTCAAGCTCAAAACCACTGGGGGCACTTTCACAAGGCAATTCCCAGGTCTTTGAAGGTCCAGGCGCAACGCAAGTAGGCTCCAGGCTGGCCGATACACCATGGAGTCCATCTTCATCAACATGGATAACATCGTCCATTGCGCCCATCTAACTAGTCAGACCCCCATCACTCGCTTTGGAGTGATTAAAACACAGCGGCCCACCCACCCACCACTTGAGAGAAACTCTGAGGATCATATTGAAGAATGTTGTGACCCGAAATGCTACATTTCTAAACAAACTCACCATGACGATTTGATGAGTAAACTCAGCTGCATCATAGAACTGAGGTCCTATCTTATTATTCCATGCTAATGTATTCAAAACGCACGCTTGCTTGCATTGTGAATTGACAAGAAGAAATTATTTATTATCGATTTCTGCTCTAGCCTATGTTTTAAAGTTTGGAGCATCTTCGTGGCACTTTTACAGATTTCATGTTTCTTACTGATCTGCAAAGAGTACAAGAACATGTTACTCTCTTGTAAGTAGTATCAAAGACGTGACATTGAGGTGAAAGTTTCATTGAAGATGACGCAGATGATCAGCAGAAAGTAAATAGAAATGCTATGTCAGATTCTAAGCAGAAGCAGACAAAGATAGACGCAAAATTTGAGAGACCGACAGAGACAGACAGCAAAGAAACACATACACACACTGACACACAAACAAAGATACAGACACAGACGCGCACACTTGCTCAAAACAATTTTTGCGAATTCTGATGTGGAATGCATCTTACGTGCAAAAAGACTTAAATTATACCTGACAGAAATGGGTCGGTGAAAAGACCCGCGAAATATCGAAAAGTAACCATCGCCATAGCCAGTGCTAGATGTAATGAGTTGGAAATTGACGTTTCCTTTCAACTAAGCCAAATTGTTCCCACCTTGACAGATTGCGAAAACCGTACAGTCAACGAAGTGACATCAAATGGAAGTCCAAAAATTCGGGTTTGGTTTGAAAACTGTTCGAAAAGCGACATGCCGGTCCTTGGCTTAGCCGGTTGCCATTGACGAGAAATGAAAAATGAAAAATGGCGCAGGCACACAGATTGGCATCCCAATCTGTATCTGATTGGCGGCGCCCTTTTGATCCTCGCACAAAAACGCCTACGGTAACATCCATGTATTGCACATGCAACTGTAGCTAAACTGACATGTAAGGTTCGACATGTCTGCAACTAAATCCAAATTGAACTGCGCATGTACTGCAAACAAATGGATATGTCCTGGAGTGAAATTCCATTCACCCCGCCTCAGATGCGACTTCTTTTAAGTCAGCAGCTGAAACCTTTGTAAAAAAAATCTACCAAGGCTGTCTTCAAAGCCTTCACGGCAAAGGGCAGTAGATTCTTCTTTCACTGTTGCATGTTCAAAACTCTGTACATCTTTCAAGACTTCCTTCAAGTCTCATCTACGTCTGTATACATCATTCCATGGGCTTCTCTGATTTGACCTTCGATTTGCGCCATCAGCAAGCTGTTGTTGTGAATCTGGGCATCATCCCATTCACATTCCAGTCTTTCGATTCTGGTTCTCAGCACACTATTTGTTTCTCTCATAGTTTGTCTCAGTTCAGGCGGCAAAGGTGAAGGACGAACTGCAGGATCATCAGATAGAGGAGACTCTGATCTTTCTCCTTCTCCATGATCATGCTCATCGGTCCAGGGTGGCCCATAGTGGATGTGACGCCAATACTCGTCATCTGAAACTTCACACATCTCACTGTCCAAATAACGGCGACGTTTCTCTTGCAGGGTTTCAGCTTTTCCTTCATATATTCCCCAACCCATTTTATACTCAAGTATATCCAAAACTTGATGCAACTTTTGGTCCATGCCTTTGGCGAAGGTCTCGCCTCTCGCAACTCCCAGTGCAAAGCGCAAGTAGAAGCAAACAGCCAATGCACCACAGAGCAGCGTAAGCAGGGTTGCAATCATCACATTCTTGTAGTCCATGAAGCTTGAGGTCGGGCTGAGGTCAGCTGAAATTGCATCAGTAGAGATTGCCATAGCCATTTCCGAAGGACTCAAGGCGAGAAGGAGGATTCTCAGAAGTTGTTTGGGGGCGCTATATCCTTGTTCTTTAAGAAGTCGAATACTGGCCTTCATGTTGTCCTGTTCTTGTATCTTGTCATAGGCATTCATGCCAACAAACTCAGAGGTGTCCATGTTGTATACTTTGCATAAACACATGAGGTATTCCATCCTATCCTTTGCTAACCGTTTGGTCCCCAAGTCTGCAGGATTCTCACGGCTGGGAACTTTTGAAGGAACTAAACCTTTCTCTTTCACTCTTTGCTGCATCCACAAAACACGAACACTGATATGACGAATACGTCCCACTCCAGAACGTAAAAAGAAGGATCTGCCTGCTGAGTTGTCCATCTTGATGAAGGTGACCACTTTGTTCTCTCCTCCAACAATGAAACACAGGCAGTATTCCAACAGTGCACCATCGCAGCATGCACTAGTTGCTGCATAAATTTCAGCTTCTGCTGAAGAGAGTGCTATCGCTTTCTGTGATCGTGAACTTGAATACAGTAAGTTCCCAAATAGGAATATGAATCCAGAAGAAACTGATTTCCTGGTTGAGCGGTGTTTCGCCCAGTCACTGTCTGAAAAGACTTCCAACGTGTAGTCCTCAGGGGTGTAGTGCAAAAGTCCATGGTGACCTTTGTAAGTCAAAATAAGACAGTTTTCCATGCATCCCAACAAGTACATACACAAGTGTCGCAAGCATGCAAACGAGTTCACTGTGGGCTTTGACATCGACTGCGACAACGCACGTATGCTGTATTGACATTCGATGTAGTCACTGGAGATATACAAAAGAATACCAATACATGATCTATATATCTTTGCATATTGGGCATCCAACTCTTTGGAGTTGTCGGGTTCATCCAACAGTGGGTGGCCGGGTGTCTTCTTTGGCATCAGGCTGCGTTTGATCTTCAAAAGCTCAAACAGTTTTTCAAGGTGTTTCGGGTGGCTTTGTATGGCTAGCTGGTTTGGGCTGACCATCACATGTTTTCTCTTCAAGAACGTAAGTTCATCACCCTCGTTGCAAACTACATCCAACGATATCTTGTACTTGGCACGCAAGGCCGGTACCAACGTGTTGTTCAGGTAGTTCTCTTTCACCAAGCAAAGAACATCATCGACATGCAGCAGCAAGACGCATTCTGAGTTTTCAGCTCGAAGTAGGCAGGGGTATGCATCACAAGGGGTGATCTTCAGCTCGTCACGCAAGAAACTGCTAAAAGCATCGTGCCACATCTGTGACCCATTCCTCTGGCCTGGAAGTACACGGCCAAGGACAAACTCCATGGTGGCACCTGAAGCATCAACGCATGTAACCTGTGTGAGTTCTTCTTGAGGAACCATTAGAAAAGCATCACCAACATCTATTGAGCATAGCACATAGCCATCAGTCTTCCACTTCATGAAGAGCGTAGGCAGTAACCTTGTTGTGATCACTGAAGATGCTGGTGAAAACAAATCTTGTCTATCTGGACTCAACCAAGCAAACTCACGTGCTACGTATCTCGATCGACGTAGCCAGACTCTTTGTCCATCTATATGTTTATCTCTCCAAGCTCTCACCATCCTTGTTGTCAGTCTTTTGGGGCGCTTGACCTTTGTAGTCATAGCCGTCGGCAGGAAGTAAGACTCCCATTGATTTCAACCTGGAGATTTCAAGGTGATCGGCCATGGTGTCAATTCGAAGTAATTCACTTTCACTAAGCTGAGGTTCAGCAGTGGAGTAAGGAAAACAAAGTTGTTTCAACAAAGCAGCATCACTGACATCATCACTTTTGTTGTTCAGCTCTTCGTCCAACGAAAAGTCGTAGGCTTCCAACTCATCAACCTCACAATCATCAAATGTTGTGGGGTGCTCAGCATCCTCATGCTCAAAGATAGCTAGTATTCTAGCTTGTTTTGAAGGTCTCTCAGACTCTTCCGATGCAGTCTCAAGTGGGTGCACGACACCTGAAGAAGTGTCCATGCCTCTCGAAGGTGCTTCCAAAGCACTGCCTGCAGCATGTGTTGCTCCATCCAATGGAGTCGAAGGAACTTGCAGTCCAACTGCACTTGGAAGGGACCCCGCCTCAGCAGCTTGTCCCATAGTTTCATCCAACGCATCACCTTCCAAAGCTGGTACGCCAGAAACTGGAGCAGGCAAAACAACAGGTTTGTGTGGCGCCTCAACTGGAGTGGGCGGCACATTTCGAACTGCTTCTGCATCTTCATCCCTGAGAGGAGCTGAAACAAAAGGGGCTGGTATTGGTGGAGCAATCCTCTTGGCCAAAATCAACTGGGAACCTAAAGAGGCATATGAAAATTGCCAAGGGCAGGTCTCCACCTGACTCATCATCTCACCATTCCACGCATTTGGAAACCTTCTGATACTACGTGTCACAAACAGTTGGTTGTTGCCAGGAACTGCAACGATGTTGACATCATTGTTGATTGTTTTCCCAAGCCAAATGCCTTTCGTCCACTGTGGGGCTCCTTTGGCTGACTGTCGTAGGTATCCTAAGACACATTCACCAAACATGGCTACTCGACCACTGTAGGTTCTATCTGCACAAAGCTCATAAGCAGTGTGTCCCTGTTTCACAACGTACCTGTTATGCAACCATGCCGCATGAAGAAGTGACCATGAATACAAAGGGTGTTGACATCCAATTGTACCTTCTGGGATTCCACAGCCACGTTCCAGTTGCTGTATCAGCAGATTGGCCTGACGTCGAAGCAGCTTCACTGTGACTTCCGCCGCTCCGTTTGAAGCATGGCTGCGAGGGGCAACAGTTTCAACAATTGTTTTGACTCCCAAGCACCTACATGTTTTCCTCACGGCCTCCAGCAAAGACAACGTCGAAGGTTCCTGATCGCATTTCAATGAAATTGTTTCATGACCAAGCCAAAGCACGAATCTGCAAAACTCCGTGCATAAGTGGTTGAGCCAACGTCCACCTTTCTGGGGTGTAGGCACTGTATGCATGGCACCAGTGTGCCTGTCATGCAAGAAAAGTGCACAAATTTTGTCATCATCATCGTTTCGTGCAGCATAGCCAAAGTCGAAAGAAATACA